AAGCTGGAAATACCTATTTGATAACTTTTTGTACTGATGCGGAAAGACAAGAATAATTTGACTTGTCAGAGGGTCATAAACTCTAGTGCAAAGAAAATTAGGCGCAACTGTCTATACCTCAGATTTGGAGGGTAGTTTTCGAGAAAAAAAAAAGTTTCGAAAAACGGTCAAAAAATCGAAATTTTGACTTTTCTGAGGGTCATAACTTTTCATGTATTTGAACTTGGGCGTAATCGTTTCTTTAGGCAAATTCCATATCAGATGTCCTTTCGATTGAAACTAATATCTCAGATTAGGAAAAAAATTTAAGTAAAAAATTTAGGCGTAATCATTTATGCGACAGAGCTTCCCACAACCCGTTCTGCTCAATGAAAGCAAAACCTCAGATTTGGGGAGGGTAGTTTTCGAGACAATTTTCAAAAACTGGTAAAAAAAAATCGAAAAATTGACTTTTTCAAGGGCTGTACATTTTTGTTTTTTGGGCGTAGTCGCTAATGCAGGGGAGCTTCCAACAACCTGTTATATCCATTCAAATCAAAATCTCAGATTTGAGAGGGTATTTTTCGAGAAAACAATTAAAATATGGATCAAAAATACCCCCACACTTTTTCGAAGGATGTAGAAAGTGGGGTAAGGTAAAAGAGATAAGGTGAGGAGTATGCAGACACATAGCGGACTCCCCATTCTTACCATTTTCTTTTTCGAAAATAAGGGCAAGTTTGAGAAAAACTAAATTTTTGAAAAAAGTGAAAAATATTTCCAAAGTGTCTCAAAAAATAAAAACTCAAATCAGACATGGTAAAATTACAAATTTGTGAAATTCCAGATATAGAAAAAAAAATGGAAAATCAACCCACATAGATTAGGACGAAAATCACGAACACAAAAAAAAATTGAGAAACTTTTTAAGAAGATAATTACTACCTGAAAAGGCTTTGAGCTTATTACTACTTCTTAAGTATCTTCTGGAGGAAGATACTACTTAGGTATCTTCCCCTAGAAGTGAAGATCTTCTAAAAGTGCCGCGCTTGTGGACAAAGTTGGTTAGGAGAAAAAGTTAAGTACCCGATTGAAATAGCCTTGCTGAGCTTGCATCACTTACGATATAAGATTCAAATGTTTATCCCAGTGCTGAACACTGGTATATACTTTTGCACCGTAAGTGATGCGAAGCTCAGCTGCGCCTCCAGTTCAATTTTAGTTCACTTGAGTTAAACTTAATTAGATTTTGTAGGTTTTCGGATTTATTGACAGTAAAATACATTGTCTGTGATTATTGCGATGAATCATGATTTTAAAATTTTACAATTAATAATAATAATAATAATAAAACAGAATTTAGGATACATCCATGGGAGTTAGCTCCCGAATCAAGTTTATGAGATCAATCATATTTTAGTTTTATAGGTTTAGTTTTTTGAAGTTTAAGCATCTTGTGCATCCGCAGTTGATTCTCCAGGTGCAGGTATCGACTTCATTGTAGATTTTCTCGTAGAATTGCCAGTACACTCTTGATATTTTTGGTTTAAACGAGTCACATAATAGGACTTCATATTTCACGTGATCGTGAAATATGTTTGTCAGGCTGCAGGCGCGTTGCCAGAAATCAGATTCGCATTTATGAAGTCGAAAGTTCTTCGCGTTGAAACGTCTTGTTGTTTTCGGTCGATTTGATTCAGTGGTTTCTATAAATCGCCACCATTCCAGGTCGGTCTTTCCTCTTAGAATGTTCGCGAACAAAAGTAGTACATGCATTTCTTGGTAAAGAGACAAGGGAAGAATTTGAAGAGTGGTTAACCTCGATTTATAAGGAATTTGTTTATTTCCAAGTATCCATTTCGTTGCTCTCTGTTGCACTTTTTCTAAGGTGGCAAGATCTTGCTTTGAGGGTTTCCAGACTGATGATGCATAGCTAACGATAGGTACTACATAGCTTTTATATGCATTTTTCCTGTTGTTCATGGTTGTGGCAGGTGATAAGTTTCTTTTGATGCAGTATAGGGCTTTGCTCGCACGATTGTTTGCATGAGAAGTCCAGTTAAGATTTTTTGACATTATCATTCCAAGATCTTAAGTTCGTTAGGCTGTTCGAATTTGTACGAGAATATGCTTAGGTTGCACTCGCCCTTGATTACTAGTGTTTTGCTCTTGGTCATATTGAGGCGCATTTCATTGGTTTCACACCACTTCCAGACTTTTCTAATATCGATGTGCAGGGTAGTCGTGTCGGTGCCCATAATTTTATAGTCATCCGCATAGCCGTAGCACGATGACATGACACATTTTGGCAAGTCGTTGATGTATACTAAGAAAAGGAGTGGCCCTAGAATAGATCCTTGAGGCACTCCACAATTGGCAGTTGGCTTGAGACCGAGCTGCCGATGCGTACTGTTTGGGTTCGACCGGTCAGGTAACTTTTGATTAGATCCAATATTGGGCCTGTTATTCCAGCTCTGCTGAGTTTTTCGATCGTTATATTGTGATTGAATTTGTCAAAAGCCTTCTGGAAGTCGAGGTAAAATGACGCTAGGAAGTGGCAGTTGCTATTGTCAAAGTTCACAAACATTTCGTGCAGGTATTCGATTAGGTTTGTTATAGATGAGCGTCTTTGCCGAAAACCGTGTTGAGATTGGGACAATGCGGTGGATAAGATTGGGTACATTCTGTCGAAAATAAGTTTCTTGAGGACTTTGGATACTGCTACGAGGCTGATCGGCCTGTAATTATCTACCATTTGTTTGTTCCCTTCTTTAAATATGGGGATTATTTCGCTTGTTTTCCAGAATGATGGGAAGTAGCATTTGTTTGCAATTGTGTTGAATATGAGATGCAGTGACTTTGGTAGGGAGTCTGACAATTTTTTCAGCAGGTTGTTCCCCATACAGTCAAGTTCTTTGGCCTTGCTCTCGTCCAGCGATTGGAGAACGAGTTGTATTTCTAGTTCTGAGAAATGAATCATCGACAGCTTGGGCTGTCCCTCTGTGAGAGTATAATCGTGGTGATTCTTACTGAAAACGGATTGGAAGTACTGATTAAATAATTCGGCTTTTTCGATATCGGTATTAGCTGACTTATCGTCACGAAATACCTCAGTTGGGATTGAGCTTGTTTTCATGATAGTTTTGAGGTATTTTTGGACGTTTGAGAAGATTCCAGACTTGAAAATTTCTGTTTCATGATTGCATTGGTCAGCTGAGAGCGATAAGGACAATTCAGTTTGTAATTGCTGGATCTTTAGGGTATTTGTTTTACTTTGGCGTCTGAGAGTTTCTACTTTTTTCATGAGGTTTGAGCTCGTGGGAGAAACCCAGGGCGCTAGATGTTTCCTATGTTGGGTTTTTCGGGGTATGTGTTTGACTATAATACCGTAGACCCAATTATACCACTGATCTACCAGGAGATCAACGTTGCTGTAGCAGTATGGGTTGAAGTGGTGCTCTCGCACATATTCGTTGATTTCGTTCCAGTTGCCTTTTTTGAAGGCAAAGTCTGAAAAGTCGTACTTTTGGGAGGGTAGAGGGACCCTTTCGTGATTTATTTTGTGATTCATATGTAACTTTGAGCCGTAAGGCGGGTGATCTGAGGTGAAGTCGTTTTTGAGCCGATTGTCCATGTATACGTCTAGTATGATATCAGGATTGTTGCAGAGCAGGATATCAAGGCTCTTTCCAGTATCGGTTATCATGAATTGTTCCAGGTTTAATTCCTGGAAGTTGTCTAGGATGCTTTGTTCGTACTCGCATTTTGATGAGAGTGATTTCCAATTTGTACACGAGAAGTTGATATCTCCTACAATGACAAGATTTTGTATGCCTTGCTCGCGTTGTGTTGCTTTTATTAAGTTCAGCAATGAGTTAAGTTGATCTAGTGACCATCGGTATGGGCTATACACAGGGGCACAATATATACAGCAGACAAGTATTGGTACAGATATCTTGAGTTGAACCATTACGCAGTCTTGCATGCCTGTATCAATGCGGTTATGTGGTATGTTGGCGTTGATGCCAATTAGAACTCCTCCGTGTTTTGATAGACCGGCTTTTGAAGTTCTTTCAGATCGATAGAGTTCAAATTGAGGCAAGAATATGGAGTTGTCTGTTATGTCGTTGGTTAACCATGTTTCGGTTAGGCAAAGTAGTTGGTATTGACAGCTTGTGTTTATCGCATTTGCGAAGTTTGATCTTCGATTGTAGTCGAGTATGCTTCGGACGTTGTAGATGAGTAGGCTAGGAAAGAGTTCTAGTCAATTGGAGATTGAGTTCTCCGTTTTTTCGGTTGCAACTGCTGTCCATCTGTTTTCTATTTTCTGGTAGAGTTTTCCATCGCGGATGCGCAGGTTTTGTTTATCGATGTTTTCGTTTATGAGCTCCCGCCGTTTTTGCAGTGCTTGATTTTCAAGTTTTGCTTCATCCACTGATAGCTCGCGGCTGACAAACACAGGTTTGTCATATGTTTTTAGGCGGCAAGCGGATGATATTTTAGGCGCAATCTAACCATTTTCTAACACACTTATGTTTCATACAAACCAATTTGACAAGCTCTAGACAGGCTAAGGAATCAACTGTAGAAAAAAATATTATTTCAAGATAAACAAATTCGGAATCAGATTATATAATGAAACCATCTGATATAGCAAAATTAAAAATTTAAGATGAGACTCTTCATTGATTTCTAGTGACTAAGTTAAAAGATTTTTTTTTTAAATAGCCCTAAAATCGTGGAGCACAAATTTTAAATCTTACTGAATTACATGTACCGTAACAAAAATACATCAAAAGGATTTTCTATGATAGTTTATATCGCTGAAATCTTACGAAAACCGTAATGAAGCTACTAAGCGTGAAACAATTTTCGTGACGAACAGCTGAACTTCAATTTTTGTATAAGCGACGAAGCTATCAAGTGAATTGAACAAGTTGCCAACCTGAAAAAGTAAATGCTCCGATTTGCTAACGCTTGCTTATCGCAAAAGTAAGAAGGCTAAATTTAGAAGATTTTACTTTTTCATTAGACTCTGATGTTGTTGTTTCAGTCTGACCGATGGACGAAAACTTCGGAAGGTTGATCTCCACTTGCGCAATATCGTCATCGGTGAATCCTTCAAAAGGTTCTGAGCTACAACCATCCTGTAAAAAAATAAATTGGGTGAAAACTATTGACATGCTAATTCAAGCTTATAGAATGGCGACTAAATAAACTTTCGGATAATTCTTCTATAACTCGGGATTATTGCACTAATATTAGGTTGACTAATATTTCAAATAGCAATTTTGGGTACCCAAAGACACTTTCCCTAAAGCTTTACTTTGCAGTCGAGAAATAACAGACATTTCACACATTTTTTCACAATTGAATTGTATAAGAATTGACCAAAAGGTAAAATTTGACAGAATAAATAAACAATTACGCTTTCAGTATCACAATCACTCGATACTTACAAATTTGAAGATGGATAAAAATATAGGGATCGATTTGGGTTCTTTGTTAGGAGCAATGCCCGTTCTCAGCCTATTGTGCCTCCTTCCAGGCTTCTGAAATGGTGACGCTGCCATTATTAAAGCAGTCGACGGCTAAAGTTATAAATCAGCCGTCATCTGAAAGAGATATCATATATATAACCTATGTAGCATTCGCCCGGAAAAAACAAAACGACGGAAAATAAGCCAGGTTCTAAAACGACTGCCTAACGTCTAAACACAGCTTCACATGCTTTTAACCGTTCAAGGTGTGGTCCATTAACATCGGGACGACAAAGTCATAACTTTTTAAGGCTATCGGGCAAACCGCGCAAATTCAGTTAGTTATATGCACAAATAGTGAGCTCATGGCTGGGTCTGTATCCCCAGACCACGAGGGCGTTCCTTATATTAAAAAAACTTTTAATTAAGCAAAAAAGTTTTTAAAAAAATCAACCAATCACACAATCGCAATTTTAAACTGGCGCATAAATTTAAAAAAAACCTATGATCTCACTTAAGTTACCGAGACCTTCTCTAGGTTCTATCTTTCAATTTTTTTCATCGTTTATTTAGTTTTCCGATTTGTTTCAGTTTCTGTTTGTTAAAGACGTAATTTTTTCTTAATTCAAAGTTTATAAATTTGTTTCTGCTTAGGGGTGGGTATTCACGAGTACCAAAATGATAAATCAGTCCCATTTGTACCAAAATAAAAAATCAATTGCGTTTGTACCAAAAATATTCAATTGGCCTAAGACTATTAAGCCGACTACTTTAAGCTCTTGGTTTAAGGTCGCCGGTGGGCGCACTACGCGCGCGTCGCCGCTTCGCGGCGATAACCGGCTCTAATTTTCGTATAGAGTCCTACCCTCTGTTGGCAAGCTCGCAACACGTTGGCGCGACTGCGGCGGTCACTATTCTGCTGTTTAGTTTTCTTCTGTTTGAACGGTAGGAAATTAATGTAATAATTCGTTGGCTCACAATTCGACCAATCAGAAATCGAGTTGAATAGTTTTGGTACAAATGGGACCGATTTTTCATTTTGGTACAAGTGGGACGTCACCCTGCTTAGGTCAGTTTTTTGAAATTTATTTTTAATGTCAATTTCTTGCTCCTGAACTCTCCAGATGAGTTTTTCTCAAACTCTCCTTCCATGAGTGAAATGCTTTCAATGCCAGTGGCTTGAAATTTGTGTTAGCGTGGCATGACGTTCCCGCAATCGTGCCCTACTTTTCCATATCAATTTGATGTTGTTCTATAGGTGAGAACTTTTTTGAAGGTTTTGCAAAAGTAGGTAATTTCGAACAATTGAGCTTTTCAGGTTCAAAAGATTTAAATTTTTTTAAGATGATCATTCATCATAAAAATACCTTACTTTGATCGATGCTCATTTAAACTAGAAATTTTTTTTAATTAGCAAAAAAGTAAAAAAAAAATCAAACAATCACACGATCGCAATTTTAAACTGGCGCATAAATTAAAAAAAAACCTATGATCTCACTTAAGTATCTGAGACCTTCTTTAAGTTCAATCGTTTATTTTTTTTCATCGTATTTTTAGCTTTTCAATTTGTTTCAGTTTCTGTTTTTTACAGACGTCATTTTTTCTTATTTCAAATTTTATTATTTTATTTCAACTTAGGCCAATTTGTAGTTGAAAAAACTTATCATTCGTTGTGTCATTCTCTTCATTTTTTTCGATTTTCAAATTTTGTTTTATTTTTGAGAAATTGTTGTTTATTTCAATATAGAACTACAAATTGCCAATGAGCTCCGAAGTAAGAGATGTACTTCGAGATAAACATAAAACTTGGAAAGATTTCAAGAAAGAGAAGTCGCAAAGAAACTATGAAAACTACACATCGGCTCGAAACAAAGTCAGGAAATTGACACGACAATGTGTTCGAAAGCACAAAGAAGATGTATCCAAAAGCATCAAACACCAACCTAAAAAGTTCTGGAACTACGTGAATAAGAAAATTAAAACAACCGAAACAATACCGGCTCTCAAAATTGGACCAGACAAGTGGGCCATGAACGACAAAGATAAAGCTGATACTCTTGCCAACTTTTTCAGTTCTGTATTCACGATCGAAACACCAGGCAGCTGGGAAGTAGTGGATTAACAAGAAAATCAAATATCTAATGACCTCTTTACCTCTTTATCTCCAAAGAGACAATCCTAAATGAACTCAATGCGCTAGACACTACGAAATCAATGGGGTCAGATAACGTACACCCTCGGGTATTGCGAGAATCCCGATACGAAATAGCTGAAATGATGAGTGGTTTAATGCAAAGTTCCTGGGAGAAAGGTGAAATACCAGAAGATTGGAAGTGCGCAAATATAACAGCAACTCACAAGAAGGACGCAAAAAGTGATCCTAACAATTACAGACCTATTAGCCTGACATCCATTTGTTGTAAAATTATGGAAAAAATCATCAGACGTCACCTGTATGAATTTTTAGAAAACAACAATATCATATCAGACAAGCAATTCGGGTTTTTACCAGGGCGATCAACGACCATACAGTTACTGAGAGCACTTGACGACTGGACAGCAGAACTGGACAGAGGTAACGAGGTAGATATCATCTACATCGACTTCCAAAAAGCCTTTGATAGTGTACCCCACAAAAGACTACTAAACACAATTTCGAGATACGGGATCAGAGAAAAAACTCTCGAATGGATTACCTCATTCTTAACAGAAAGAAAACAAAGAGTGGTGGTCAACGAAAATTTTTCGGAATGGGCACCCGTCATCAGTGGAGTCCCACAAGGGTCTGTACTGGGACCAATTCTGTTCTTAATATACATAAACTCGATGGGGGATGGAATCACATCCCAAATGCTCCTCTACACAGATGTTGCGAACATCTACAGATCAGTCACAGCTTTAGGTGAAGATGAAGAACTGCAAAATGATCTGAATGTAATTTCGAAATGGGCTGATGGTAGCCTTATGAAGTTCAACATGACAAAATGCCGTACGCTCACGTTAACGGGAAGGGTAAAACTAGCGGAACGAAATTACACCTTGGATGGGAATACATACCTTAATAATGTTCAAACTGAGAAAGCCTTAGGGGTTATAGTTGACTCGAGACTACTATTCCGTGAGCACATTGCCAAGAAAACAAGGTTGGCCAACGGCATGGTCGCGATAATACGGAAAAACTTCATCTATCTTAACGCTGAGGTACTAACAACCCTATATAAAGCCCTACACCTGGAACACGCAAATCAGTGTTGGAACCCATACCTGAAAAAGGACAAGATCATGATTGAGAACGTTCAACGGCGGGCGACAAGACTGGTCGCAAACATACAAAACTTAGTTACCCGGAAAGACTGAAAGCTCTGAAACTGCCAACGCTGGAGTATAGAAGGAAGCGCGGAAGAATGATAGAAGTCTTCAAAATTTTGTTTTCAAAACTCATTACGATCAATGAAAGAGACACCCGAGGAAACCCGTACAAAATTTTAACGAGGAAAACCAAAACAACAGCAAGACAAAACTTCTTCACTATCGCAGCCATTAACGACTGGAACTCATTGCCTGAAAGAATAATATCGAGCGAGAACGTCAACATATTCAAAGCAAGACTTGACAAACTATGGGCGTCTGAAATGTAGGACGCATCGTTTTTGGAATGACGAAATGGATGTCGACGAAAGAGCTGGTCGATAGAGGCCGAAGCCTGTAGACCAGAATTGAACTTGTGGAAAAAGAAGAAAATGATGACATTCTTTTGTTTCAAGAAGTTTTCCAGTTTTTGGATCAAATAGATAAAGATATTTACGGCGTCATCAATTTTCAAATTTTGATTTATTTTTGTGAAATTGTTGTTTATTCAAATATAGATATAGAAAAAAAACTTTTAATTAAGTGGAAAAGCAAAAAAATCCACCAATCACACAATCGCAATTGTAAACTGGCGCATAAATTTAAAAAAAACCTATAATCGCACTTAAGTTATCGAGACCTTCTCTAGGTTCTATCTTTCAATTTTTTCATCGTTTGATAAGTTTTTCGATTTGTTTCAGTTTCTGTTTGTTAAAGACGTAACTTTTTCTTAATTCAACGTTTATAAATTTTTTTCTGCTTAGGTCAGTTTTTGAAATTTATTTTTAATGTCATTTTCTTGCTCCTGAACTCTTCAGATGAGTTTTTGTCAAACTCTCCTTCCATGAGTGAAATGCTTTCAATGCCAGTGGATTGAAATTTGAGTTAGCGTCGCATGACGTTCCCGCAAACGTGCCCTACTTTTCCATATCAATTTGATGTTGTCCTATAGGTGAGAACTTTTCTGAAGGTTTTGAAAAAGTAGCTAATGAACATTTTCAAGCAGGCTAAGCGTTTCAGGTTTATGAAATTTAAATTTTTTGAAAATGATCAATCATCATAAAAATATCTTAATTTGATTGATGATCATTTTAACTTGAAAATTTTTTCAAATTAAGCAAAACAAATAAAAAAAATCAACCAATCACACGATCGCAATTTAAAACTGGCGCATAAATTTAAAAAAAACCTATGATCTCACTTAAGTATCTGAGATCTTCTCTAAGTTCTATCGTTCAATTTTTTTCATCGTATTTTTAGCTTTTCAATTTGTTTCAGTTTCTGTTTTTTAATGACGTCAATTTTTTTTATTTCAAATTTTACAAATTTATTTCAGCTTAGGCCAATTTTGTGAAATTTGTTTTCAGTGTCACTTTCTTGCTGCTGATCTCTTCCGTTGATTTTTTCTAACTCTTCTCTCATAATTGAAATGCTTTCAAGCCAGTGGCTTGAAATTTGTGTTAGCGTGGCATGACCTTCCCGCAATTGAGCCGTATTTTTCCATATCAATTTGATGTTTTTCTATCAAATTGATAACTTTTGATAGAAGAGTGAGAACTTTGATAGAAGAGTGAGAACTTTTGATAGAAAAAGGTGAGAACTTTTTTGAATGTTTTGAAAAAGTAGGTAATTTCGAACAATTGAGCTTTTCAGGTTTAAGAGATTTAAATTTTTATAAGATGATCATGCATCATAAAAATACCTTTCTTTGATCGATGATCATTTTAACTTAAATTTTTTTTTTAATCAAGCAAAAAAAGTAAAGAAAAATATCAACCAATCA